TTCGAGTGCAATTTGGAATAAATAAGCACGAGTAAATTTTTTCAAAGACAAACAAAATTGCATGAGCCCGTAGGGCGAGTGCAATTTGTGGTCTTTGAAAAAATTTACAAGTGCTTATTTATTCCAAATTGCACGAGAAATCATGTAATTATCTATTAATAATATACATGAAAAATACGAGGTAGCTTCTCGTAACTACGCAAAAGAAAAGCGCGCGCATCACGTGCAAAAATAATTTATTGAAACCCTGCAAGTGACATTGACCTTGACATTGACTAATCATTCTGACCAATCAGAATGTCTGGTTTGTTTCTTTCTGTGCACTGAATTAACCCTCTTCTGCACTGAATTAATTGAAAACTGCATTCATCTTAACCAATCAGAACTGAGAAATTTTTTCATGTATATTATTAATTGCGATATAATTGGTTTATTTTTTCTCGATTCCGACGACATACTGCCTTGCCGTTACAGAAAAAAATTGGAAATAGGCTAGCCAAGTCTTCTGAGTATTGTGGCATCCTCTTTATCAGAAAACCTGCCTACTAACAGTAAGGAAAGATTGATTTCGTGACGTATAAATCGAACTTTCCATGACAAATTGCTTTTGGTAAATTTATAAATAAGGCACACAGTTATCTTTACAAGTGTCACTTTTAGGGCAATGCTATGAGAGTCTTAGAGGGATTTGATTTTGATTTTTTGATTTTTGATTTTTTGATTTTTTTTTTGTGATTTTTGATTTCTATTTTCCATTAATTCCCACAAACCCTTTACAATCGTAGATAATCCTAATATAAACCTAAGTTCTTAAAAGATGCTGTTGGGATTCCCTTGTTTACAAATAATTCATGTGCCCGTTTATTGTTGTTCCATCTGATGTCACTCTTACTTATTTTAAGATTACCTGCAGGTATATCCATGCTCATTTTGCAACATCGGAATTTTTCAATACAATAGATGTTGTTGCAGCTGCTCTTGTAGAATCCAGCCATGTAATAGCCCTCCCTCTTGCAGGAGCTCAATCCCTTTTTGTCGAACGAATGGCTCACATCTTCATCATAACAACTGTCATAGCCGTCAGGATGGCCTTCAGGGTGGCAGCATTTGGCTTCATCAATGTCTCTCAGGAACTGAGGAGGTCCTTTGCCCAGTCGGAGACTGTTCATGTAATAACCAGCCGGACACAGCGCCCAAACGTTAAACCTGAGAAAGCGCAAACAATCTATTTCGGTTAAACTTCAATAACTTGCTCAAATTCAAAAGAAAACGAGACAAAGTAGACAAGGCGCCATTCATATTTTTGTTAAAGGAGGAGTATGATTCAGACACAAAGGAAATTTTATCTTTACCCACTCTACTCTCCCCCTCTCTCCCCTCCCCTCTTCCTTCCGTTTGGAGCCTGGCTACGCAGGCTACGGCTTTTTGTCAGGGTCTGTTATTAACACTACGGTAGAGTTATAAAAGAAACTTTCTTTTCCGCTTAATGTCGATCTTTTGTGCTTCAAGTTCAGTCATATATTAAGGGCAATTACCTAATTATATTTTTAATATTGGTAGTTGCGTAAACCCACTATGGAAGGGGAGAAAATGATAATTACAACTGCCAATGCCATGCAATGGGGGGGGGGGGGGAGATCATCCTGATGCTACCGAGTTTTATTGTGTCGCAATTTTATTAGGACACAATAAAATCCCCTCCCCTTCTTCTTCCTGGTTATAAATGATTTGCTGTTCCTAATTGTTTTCCCAAAAAGAATCTGTCGACGGTTTGTAAAAACACTAGTTTTAAGTGAGTTGAATATAATTGATCCCGTCCTCTCAATTTTTACCCGTAATGCCATCATGGGGCATAAATGTCTACCAAAAAACTTTCACTATTTCAGTTTGCGCTACCATGCTGGAGCACTTGAAATAACTACCTTTGTTGAAGTACGTTTAGTTCACGCGCTCAAACAAAACAGTTTTTTACTCACCCATCCAGCACTCTGCTCCAGTCGACACTTTTACAATTTGCAGGCTTATTGGCATAACATGGTTCATCTGCAAAGCAGCATGTTCCCTGTTCGATTCGTCCGACTCTTTCATCTCCTGCTTTAAAATCATTTCGCCACAATCCCTTGAGGTAGGTGTTGGTTTGGGGGCACACAGACCAGCCTTGCCTGTCCAGGCTGCTCCACCAATTTGCCTTTTTACATTCTAAAAGGGGTATTAAATTTGAAATCACCATCAATCATCAGATATAGATTTGGTCCTGAATAACAACCTAGGTTTCTCTTCTAATGGCAAACGCTGGGTTATTTTTTCTCCTTCAAATACTTCAATTTAACTTCAGTCGCCTCTTGCTTTTTAAGGTAGCAACTAGCCGGATGTTTTGAAGAACACGACAATTAAATAGCAACCATTACGAGTAATTGGCATCGGAATCCGTGGTACTCCGGAGGATACCAAACCAGTCATGGAATAACAGTTGCCTAAGAAAATCAATAACGAGCAAGCAAATCATTCCGCATAGCTGCCATTCACTTCCCAGCAGACTTGTCTCCCAATCTAGTGGCAGAGCTTAATCCGATATCTACAATATGAAGCAATTGTGGGGTTTTCCCAACTGGTGTGCGTGTAATCATTCATGCCCCTAAGTGGAAGGTGGAAAAAAGGTTTTTGAGAGTAAAATGCGTTGTTTGACAATAGAAACCAATTAGCTTGCTGACCAGGTTGTGAATCTGTTATTCTTTATCTGGAACTCAAAGCACCGACTTCTTTGCCTTCAAGTTATTTCGCCTCATGTACTCTTGAGCCACACTAATACTTAATGACTGTGTTGTAAGAGAAGAGATCTCTACTACCTTTCTTCATTTTGCAGCATCTGAAAGTCTCGATGCAATAAATGGAGTTGCAGCTGCTTTTGTAAAAACCAGTCATGTAATAGCCCTCTTTTTTGCACTCGCTCCAGCCCTTTTTATCAAACGAAAGCTGGACATTCTCATCATAACAGTCTTCGTAGGTGGCGCGGGAATGGCTCTCGGGATGGCAGCATTTTCCTTCTACAATGTCGTTGAGGAACTGAGGTGGTCCCTTTCCCAATCGAAGGCCGTTCATGTAATAACCAGCAGGACACAGCGCCCACACATTCTTTCTGGAGGAAGGTAAATGAAATAAGTGATCATTCTGCAGGAATAGAATTAATCATGGTATTGAAAAAGTATAATTTGTTCTGTCCTATGTAACGCCAAAATGTTCATCCCATCTTCTCCTTGAAATGTGTACAAACTTGTAGTAGTACAGGAAGTGTGTGTGGATAGACAGACGGACGGACGGACGGACGGACAGACGGACGGACGGACGGACGGACAGATCAGAAAATGGTGTCGACTTTAGGACTAAAATTCCTATGCTTTAACTGTTTTATATTCTCTTGCTCATAGAGCTACTTTGCAGCTTCAATATGGTTCTTTTCTTTTGCAAAGTAACAATTAAATGAATTTACAACGCACCCTTTCAACACCGCCGACCAGTCTGCATTTGAGCAACTTGATGGCTCCTCTAATGGTTTGCTTCCTACACTTGCCTGGCAGCATTTTCCCATTTCGATTCGACCAGTTCTTTCATCTCCATATCTGAAATCATTTCTCCACAGCCCCTTGAGGTAGGTATTACTTTTTGGGCACACAGACCATCCTATACGGTCCAGGCTAGCCCACCAGTTTGCGTTCTGACAGGTCTGACTTGAGACAACATCGTATATCAGCAGCAGGCTGATAAGTGGAAAGGCAAGTACAAAATGCATCCTAATATAAGATAAGAAGAAGAATAGAACGGTAAAACAACCACTGAACTGCTGTTTTGTAAGTAGGTAATTGTAATATAATGCTCTCCACGAAAGGTAATTTTGATTATAAACCTTCAAAGTGCCCCTTAGATCAAAATTTTCGTAAATCATTTTTTTCTTCATCTTCGTGTTCAGTGTGTCCCCCACCTACCCTGCAAGTTTTAATCAATGTGACTCGGACCATTGGGAGCACGATCTCTAAAGGTTTGTCTGACAAGAAAATAAAAGATGCCAAAGGCCATCGAGAATGCAATACTTTTAGCCACCCAGCGGTGTATGTGTACTTTGGAGTAGAAGAACATTTAACGACGAGGAATGCTCCCACGGTATTCGCACAATAATACTTCAATGAATAATACTTATTATTAAAAACTGGATCATTGGATAATGCAATTCAAGACTTTTTATTGGCTTAGCCATTATGGTATATGAGCCAATATTCCATAATCTACAAATATGGCAAGCGTACGCGGCAGCTTAAAATCAAAAGGGAGCTAAAAATCCTGTTTTTTCTGACAAAATAATAATTTCTTGGCGGGAGTTTTTAATAAAACAATTATTCCACTCATGCTTGTTGGATATGAGATGATTATAGCCAACTCGGCGCTACGCGCCTCGTTGGCTATCTATCACCTCATATCCAACGCGCGCTCGTGGAATAATTGTTAATTATCGATCCTTCTAGCGCACCCAGAAACGTAAGGTATATAAAGCAGTTGTCTAGGAAAACTTTTGTGCGAGAAGTTTCAACTCACAAATGAACTTTGATAACCTTCGACCTATAGCATCTTTCTTACCTGCTCTTCAGTCCGAGACGTACAATGATGTGGTGTCTCAGTGAATAAGCACGAGGATACTTATACTGAGGCAAACGAGCCATTGAAACGGCACAAAATGTTGCCTTTTCACTTGCTAATAACCAGCTGATTGTGCTAAAATTGGTTGATTATGGTTGATGTGGCCCAAAGAGTTTTCTTATTTGTATTGAATTTCTTGGAGATCAATTCGTAATTAGTGTCTTTTATGCTGTCTCGTCTATGTATCCAAGAGGCGGTCACAAATGGAATATAATATCAGTTTTGGAAACGATTCTCCATGAGAATGAGACTAAGTGGAGTCCAAGAGTCATGCAACACAGGCTTTCCTTACAGTGTCTTGTCCTTTTAATGATATTTTTTATTTTTTCTTCCAAGCAATCAATAATTATTCTGTTGTTTTGCCTATTGTGTATATCCCTTAATTCCAAATGAGCTTGTTTAGCGCACAGTGTAAAATTCTTGATTAATTTTTTTACCTTGAATAAAAATTGCTCAATACAGAGAAAAACATGACGTACCATCACGAAACTTTACGTGTAGATTAACAATTATATATTAACGCCTGTGGTAAAAGGTCTTATTTTTGCGATGGAAAAACGTTTTAGGAATCTATGTCTACTGCACTTTCCAGGGAATTCTGTATTGAAATTCCTGTCCTCAAGTGACATTAAATAGTAATGAAGATAAAACTGCAGTGAAATGGAAGGTTGAAATAGAGTATTAATTCACATATATTTCCTTCGTTCCAGACTACCAATCACTAGTCGAGGCTGACAGGCTAGTTTCTATAGAGGTAATTTGAGTATGAATGGTCTATTTTTTTCATTAAATTGTTTTCAAATTTCCATTAAAATAGAGGAAGCAATTAACGATTTGAATGAAAGCTTCGGTATAGCTTGTTTAAGAATGGTGAAGGGAATTGCTGTACACCACTCCAGCTGACCAGTTATTACCCCCTCTCCCCTCCCCCGGCGTTCATGAAACAAGGTGTATACATTGTGACATGAATGCCTTGTGTGATCACGACGGATGTCTTCCCCTACTTCAAAACAATCACTGATTTTGCTGTTTGGTTTTCTGTTACCTAATATTTCTCGGTAACAAAACGGACATGTTTAGTGCACAGTGTGAAGTTCTTGATTAGTTTTTTTTACCTTGGATAAAATTGCTTAAGACAAAGAAAAAGCATTACTTACCATCACGAAACTTCACGCGTAAATTAACAATTACATTTGAACGCTTGTGGTAAAAGGTCTCACGGCTGCGATTGAAAAGCGTTTTAGAAATCTCCGTCTACTGCAGCTTCCAGGATATGCTTTATTGAAATTCCTGCCCGCGAGTGACCTTAAAAAGTAATGAAAAAAAAAAAACAAAAAAAAAAAACAAACAAACTGTGTAAGTGTAAGGTTTTAATAAAATATCATTTCACATATATTTTCTTCGTTCCAGACCGCCTATCATTAGTCGAGGCTGGCTGGCCAGATGTTCCTATAGAGGCAATTTAAATATGAATGTGCTTTTTTTCAATAATTTTCTTTTTTTCAAATTTCCCTTAGAATAGAGGACGCAATTAGCGATTTGAATAAAACTTCGGTATAGCCTGTTCGAGAATGGTGATAAGGTAATTGCTATGCACCTCACCGGCTGACCAGTTCGTACCCTTCACATGTATACGCTGATCTTAAAGAGGCTTGTGTAAATCCTTTAGAGCGCGTTTATTTTCTTTCTTATCATTTTTGTAATTTAAATTTCATGGAAAAACACTCCCGCACCGTTACTACTATTCCCCTTATGCAAACACTCACACAGTCCTTGTGAGTTCTTTGAAAGAGATCTCTAATGAGAGTTATTATCTAATAACCTTGTGTTGAGTTGCCACGCTGAGAAGTTTCATTTGTATTATGCTACACGTCATAATTGTTTATCATTTGTGAAATTTTACCTACAAATTTTTTAAATGTCAAGTTAAACTAAATGTAAACCTAAAACTGAAGAGCATCGTGCGCACCTGAAACCTCTCTTTATTTTCCCCTGTAGAGTTCATTCTTACACGCTGCAATTTATACAGCAGAGCTTCGTCTTTTTCATCGTCATCGTCGTCCTGTTTCTCTCTGTTGCTACAAAACCTACCTTAACTACTTACAACAAAATTTGACTTAAAATATCACTGGAACGGTCTCACTGCATACATACTCCACTCCACCTCCGTGACATACACCGTGTTAGAACTGAGTCTGTCAGTCAGATGACAGCAATATTGTACAAATCAAATAAGAGACAAGTAGTAACAATATTGCATACGGTTAAACTTAGTTTTAGTACATGGACACTGGTTTAAGCTTGTTTACTTTATTACCAACGTAAATATTTTAAAGTGCATTTTTTGTCTTACAAATTAAACCATTCAATAATTCTTTTAATGGCAATTAAGGAGCCATCTATACATGAGCAGCATTTTTGTTTTCATTATGGTGATATATACAAGAAATGATAGCTAGAAAAAATGGTTCATAGAAGACGATGAGTTGTTTTTATTTTTTATACCTGTTAAAATATTGAACAAAAAAAACTAAATTTGTCATGAATAAAGGGGGTAAGTTTCTAAAGAAACTGTGGTGCTGCGTCGGTGGGGGTAACAAGGTAAATTGGTAATATCAACTAAGTTGAAATTGTAAATTGGCCACCGCAAAGAGTTAAAAAGCTGACGTTTCGAGCGTTACCCCTTCATCAGAGCGAATGACGAAGGGCTAAGGCTCGAAACGTCAGCTTTTTAACTCTTTACGGTGGCCAATTTACAATTTGAACTTAGTTGATATTACCAAAGTAAATTTTGTCATGGTTATGTTTAATTTTTAACGAGTTAAAACGAGTTAAAACCTGGCGATACATTTTATTTCGAAAAGAAAAGGTCTAAAAAGGGCATGCTGTAAAGAAAAGGACCTCTTTCCTAACAAGGAGATCGCCTACACACATTACACGTTATTTCATTGGGATATCGAAACACCAAGTAAGTGATGTTATTAACGAGTGGGATATTCCTAAATCGGCGGGATATTTACTGTATCTCAACGTCACTCGTACCCCCACACTATCTCAGCAGGCTATCGAGTTTTAACACCTCGATGGCCACATGGGTGGTCCTTCTTCTCTTTAACGGTGTATGAATAAGTAGTTCAAAACAAGGTAGATAGTAACCTGGGTAGAAATTGAAGTGTCCTTCCAACTTTTTAAGTGTCGATCTTTGGTTTACACATAGTTAATAGAGGGGACCCCTCTATTAACTATGGTTTACATGAGTTTATAATGCACAAAAAGTGAGAATGCTTTCCGTGAAAAGCATTCCAGTCCACTGAGATAATAGATGGCCAATTAAGGTTAATTGTTGAGAAAGGATATCAATTATGCTAAAAGAAAAGTTACAAACATTCCAAAATTATCACTCATATGTAACTAATTTTAAATTTTGATAACATTTGTAACAACATCGTTACACACGTAATATATGTAGAGAATTCCATGTAAGTATCCTTAATTTAGTTAATGTAAGTATTGTAAGGAGTTTTTCTTTGTGTGGCTATTATTAAAAAGAAGTTATTATTTTTTTATTTTTATTTTTATGATCCAAGCAAGGACGAGTGGCGGGATTCATTTTACATTCTAACACATTTGACTTGTTATTAACCTTAAGCTAACAAAGATTCGGACATTTAATTATCTTCTCAACATGCGACTTTTGAACATTAAAAACACTGAATAATTTTAGCCTTGAACTTGCTCAAATTTTATTGCAAAGGCCCCCAGAAATTTCTCACCTGAATTTTTATCACAAGTTTTTTTTTAAGTACCTTTACTCTCAATACTGCCTTGCTCCTAACGTAATGACTTGTAAGCATGCAATTATTCCGATACCTTATTGTTGCATGGGAACGTTCTTGTTTCCGAAAAAATGAGTTATTAATATTAGGGTCGCATACCACCTCCCAGTGTAAAGATAACTCGATACTCAACTCTCTTCACACAGTTTGGGGCGTGAAACAAGAAGAGAAAGCCTTTCTTCGTTCCTTAGCCTTCCTGACAAAATTCTGCTCCTTTTGAAGAAAGGTGAGAGAATTCTGCAAACGTTTGCAGTTTTCCTTTGAAAATGTGTTTTGTTGACTAAGCTATTCCGATAGTTGATTTAATACATTTATCTCTGAAAATATTGGTCCTGAATTCTGAAGGAGCAGAATCGGAGAGTGGAATGTATTGGACACATTTTAGCGTACTTTTCTTTTTTTTTCCGTCGGCACACTTCTGTCTCGTTACATGACTTTTCTCGATGTCAGTGAAATTATAAGAGGATCATTGGACAACTCCAAGATTTGATCACGGTATAGAATTTACGGGGCATTAAGGCCTGACCACAAGACGAGGTAAAAAATCTTCAAAATCTCATTGGAAATCCTCCTAAACTTAGTGGATCAACATCGTAATTTTTACAAATATTTTTGACAACTTCACTAAGAGTTTTGTTTTGTTATCCTTGAATTAAAAACTTGGGTTTGGAAAAAATTATAACCTGTAGGAGTGCACATTTCTATTGAGGCTTTCCCATTTTATTACTTTTCAAAGAAGAAAGAAGCAGGGTTTTCGCTGAACTCAGGCACGACCTCTTAGAAGCAGTTGGTCTTCAGTTTAATGTCCAAACGATTCATCCTTTCTTACGATAACATTGACACACGAACTACAAACCTTTTGTTAAATATATAACTCTTGGATCTCCAGCGTTTTCAGTCTACACTTTGAAGCGTGAAAGATAGTCTTTAGAAGATGAAACTTGCGTTTGCACTTCACCTTATCAGCATATTGCTGATGATTCAGCCTGATGCCATTCTGAGCTGTGACACAGCAAATTGGTGGGCGAGTCTGGACAAGAAAGGTTGGTCTGTATGTGCAAATGATCGCACCTTCCTCAGAGGACTCTGGCGAAGTGCCCCAGGGGGGAACAACGGCCTTTGGCTTATCGAGCAAGGAAAATGCTGCGGAGCCAGTGAACCAAGTAATGCTAATCAACCTTCTACTTGCACAAATGCAAACTGGTGGAGTGCATTGGACGGGTGAGTCGTGGCTTTCTGAGGTTGAATAGTTACCACCATGGTGATTATCATTATTACAAATACTTGTATGAGCAAGTCATCTTCATTACCATTATCATTTTTATCAGTAAGTTGTTGAAAGTAGAAAGCTTTACAGATGGTATTTTCAAGAAACGAGTGATTTAAATCTTATTGTTTATCAGTCAAGAAGATGGTTTCAAATATAAATAAAAAAGGGGCCCTTTTTCTCGAGAGATCACCACTTTGAAGTTATCTAGTTTAACTGAATATTCAGCAGTTACATGTATTGATTCTGATACTGTAAGGTTTTTTGACTCGATCTAGAACCGTCTTTGGTCGGTTTTCCCTCTATTTCCAAAATTAGATCGATGATTTCTGTTCATTCGATTGCTTGTATTTCTCCTTTAATTGCAGATAAAACAATATTTTTAGTTGTCGTATATCCTACGTTTTTCCTTGTCAGTACGTTTTTCCTTGTCAGTACGTTTTTCTTTGTCACCTTTCCTTTTCAGAAAGAATGTTTGGGCCCTGTGTCCGGCTGGTTATTACATGGAGGGTATCTACATCAGTGATTCAACAAATATTTACAACATCGAAGAGGCCAAGTGTTGTCGTCCACAGAATCACCCAAACGCTTATGAAGACTGTTACGATGAGGATGTTACCCTTTCGTTCGACAAAGAAGGTTGGAGCGAATGTAAACGGGCAGGCTATTACATGACTGGACTCTATAAGAGCGGCTGTGAGCACGTCTACTGCATTGAAAAATTCAAATGTTGCAGAATGAAGAAAGGTATTGCATTCTATATGTTTCAAAATTTTGACAATTTTAAAAAGGAAAGTTCAAGACTCTCAGTCATGTGTTAGATTTATAAAAGGAGTAAGAGATTAAATAAAGGAATATGTGAAATTTTAAAATTGAAAGTGTAAAAAGGGGGGCATACATTTAAAACTCTGATGAATATTAGGAACCAAAATCCCCCTACATTTTAAATGGAACATCTCACCACCAAGGAGAAGGTACTGGTAATAAGATTCGCGATACTCGGGCCTCATTTAACACTCATATATACTTTTTCCTCCAAGATGACAGAATTAATATGATCAAAATTAACTTATCACTCACGATGACAATAATTATTATGTAGCTCAACAAACCTACTTATTTTAGAAATATCTTATTTCTTTCAGCTGTTGTTAATGGTGGATGGACTGACTTCGGACCCTTTGGTGAATGCAGCGCTACCTGTGGAGGTGGAATGCAAGAGCGCTCACGAACCTGTACCAATCCTCCTCCGTCAGGAGGAGGAGCCCAATGTTCAGGGTCAGCTAAAGAAACGAGGGCTTGTAATGCTGAACCTTGCGCTGGTAGGCACTTCACATCCTTTGGAAAAAACCTCAAACATCTATTCCCAACAACTGCTAATCCTACAATAGACTACTAGATGGCTTGTCAACACGTTCTTTACAACATCTGTTATATCTGTCGATATTCATTTTTCTCGTAAAGCTTGTGAGGAAACCTAAGCTTACAAGCCTTATTGGTTTCCTCGCCATTAATCTTTTCCCTTTGTTTTCTTTACCAATTACTGCAAATTGTAATAAAGTTATACGTAAGGGCGCATACCACTAGAAAAGATTCATGATTTTTAATGGCTATGAGGTTTCTTGTATTCTAGAAGATATTTTTTTATCATTTCTATAAATTATACTGCCGTTCTCTGACCAGATGAGTGAGATCACCTTAAAAAGAGATGAGATAATCTTGAGGTGATCGGTAGTGAAGGTGTTAATATGGCTGTCTACTTGAAAACAAACACAGCAATGCAATAGCTTTAGTTGTCATGATTGTTGTTTTAATCAAGAAGCTTCTCATTTCTGTTAGTCTTGAAAGTTTTTCTTCAAAAAAAAAAAAAAAATTGTTACGTTTTAGTATAAGGCAGTATACAAAAGACTGTCATGGTGTCCTTCAGAAATTTCTGATAAGCTGTTATTTTGATAAGTTAATATGCAACGACTAACCATCTTTGTTATAAATTTTCGCAGTTGACGGAGGTTGGAGTGAGTACGGAGAGTGGTGCGAGTGTTCCAAACCATGCGGAGGTGGTGTTCAGTCCCGCAGTAGAACCTGCTCAAACCCTCCCCCGGCACATGGCGGCAAGGATTGTATGGGCATGAGCGAGGAGACAATGGAATGCAACACTCAGGAATGCGACGGTGATTATAATTAGCACATAAAACCGCTATTGTTGATGATAAAAGAGCAACTTTTCAGTTGAGCGTCGAAAGTAACCCGCTCCTGTTTTGTTTTTGCTTAACTTTGCCCTGTGATTGGTCCCGAACTCGCGCCAATCTCACAACCAATCAGATTCAAATCTTAAACCAATTACCACTTGGTCGCCTGCGTTTTCCAGCGGTTTTACTTTGATTTGTTATTTGGTCTTTTTAGGGTATTTTCCTTTCTTCTGATTGGCTAATTGAGTACTTTGGTTTTGGTTTTACGACAGTCATTCGTAAGGTTTTGTCAAGGAGAAGTCCCGATTGGTTCTTATTAGGAACCCTCAGAAGAAGGATGTTTGAACGACTCCCCGGTGTGACATTATCTAAAAAATTTTGCTTTTTCATCATAAACCAAAAATTCTTCATCCTGACGTGAAAAAATCTGTCGTCATTTTGTATAAACATTTGAGATAAACTTCCGTTTGGTATGCTCTTTATACGGCTCAAGCGCTAAGCGCGCGGGCCATAAATCCTGGCTAGGGGAAAAACGAGTTTTAGTAACTAAAAATATGGACTCTGGGTTCAAATACAGAGGGGAAGCTGATTTCAATTCAAACACACATTTGAATTGAGCGGGCCATACAATTGAAATATGACCTGTTAAATTCACCAATCAGAGGGAACCTACGGACTGAGAGATGTAATAAATTCACTGTGAAATTCATTTAGCTCCTGTTTTCATTGCGCCAAGGAAATATAAGTCGACAATTCATGGACTGTGTTCCATTTTGCACTTACAGTAAACGGCGGATGGTCAAAGTGGAGTGAGTATGGGGAATGTAAAGGCAAGTGCAATAAGAGAGGTAAAAAGTACAAGACCCGCACCTGCACCAACCCGCCAAAATCCGGCAATGGGAAGAATTGCAAGGGAAAAAGCCAGAAGAAGAAGAGATGCAAAGTGAAATGTGCCTAAGGTATGGGAGACTATTAGATAATAGTGAGATTTAGGTCCGCGTTTTCGTGAAACGTGAACGACAAGAGTGACTACGTGATCATGTTTTTCCCGCCATTTTTTATCTTTTGACGGTTGCACTTTGCCGTTTCTATGTGAAATCCCTTTACGCTCTAAATTGTAAATTCTTTATAATGTTCTCCATACCTTTNGGGGTGTGGGGGAGAAGTATTTTGCCCCAAAAGAGTCCAACAGTCCTTTCTGAACCAAAGTTTGGACCCCCTCTATCAAAAATTCCTGGATCCGCCCCTGGTACCGGTATCGCGGAGGTCATGGGTTCAAATCTCGTAAGGGCCTGAATCCTTTTCAGGCCTTACTTTCACTATTACATAGATAGTTTTCATTACTGCGAGGATCGCTTTCATACAAGATGAATTTGTTTAGGCTTCTTCGGTTAATGATCATTTCCTTTATTCTTCATGGCCTTTATGTGTGATTCAGGGTGACGTTTTAAGGAGAAGTTAAATGCTGGTCTCTCTTAAGGGATCAACAACTGATCTTTCATGACCACACTCGATGTTTTTGTTCCAAATTGTTCTTGCAGCTCCAAAAACAGCCTGGAAACAAGTGGGAATTATATGGGAATCAAGCGAAGGCTTTAGGAATGTTTTAGCTGGGGATATTTTGATTGTAGAATACTTAGGGTCACCAGTGGTATTATGTTTAGTGTCTACACTGGAGCCAAGAGAATATAAACAGTATTATATAATCTCTTGCTGAAACTTATCGTTCTTCATTTGCACTTTTGGTGTTGGTTAAATAAAGAAACAAAAATGTCTATTATTTGTTGTATGATGTATTGAAGCTGTCATTTGACAACAATTATTTTGGTCACTAAAGGTGGATGATTTGAAATTTTCCCCTTGCTGAAGAATTTCAGAAGAATTTCTGGCCTAAAGAAGCCTTAGAGAAATGAAAAAATATATAATATTCTTCCAGCCAAATACTGGACTAAAACAAATTCAACAAAAATATTGCTTGTTCTATTACTAAGAAGACAGTCAAAATTTGCTCTTCCAAAAATTTAACTTTTACTTCCTTCCCCCCCACCACCACTCCCCAGTGCCAAAATTGTAAGCTGTTAGAGAAACCTAGAGCAACAAAAATTCTTCCCCCCTCTCCCTCAGAATTACTATAACCCATGATTAGTTTTGAGTGCAGCAGATAACCATAGATAAATGTCTCATTCCAGTATGACTGAAACTTGGATGTTGGAAAAAATTGGAAGAAAGAAATGGAGATATTGTCTTACAAGGGTGAAGTAGGAATTGAGGTTGGCCTGTCATGGGCTGGCCTGAGAAAACATCAGTTGCATCACTGGGACTGGGATTCGAGAACTGGGAATGGGAAAAATATGTAAGAAAAAAATGGGAAAGGTCTAACCCTTTTATTCGCGCAAGTGACCAAGACAGAATTTCTCCTTAAAATATCAATGCAATGTTAAGCAGATAAGTGATGAGAATAAAGAAAAATATCAATCACGGGATTATTAGTTGATCAAATGCCAAATTCTCTGATCTAAAATCATATGAATTGTACGGCAGACAATAAGGAGAATTACTAAATTAGATCTTGGGAATGAGAATGAGGAGTGAAAGGGTTAAAATGTGACCAGTAAACAATCAACCAACTTGTGGACTTGAGAAATATTAGTCAACTGTTATGACAAGTAACATTTTCTACATTTTAGGCTACTTGACTTTGTCATATTGACAAAGCATGATACACATTTTACTTTCTCAATGTATCTGGCAAAATGCAGACTTGACAGACGGAAGGAAAAATGTTACAATGTTATTTCGTGTGAACTGATTGTATTAACCTTCATTCTTTTAAATCCATTCACATAATTTTATTACTAATCGTAATTCTGTTATAGAATAACAAAAGTGGTGTCAGATAGAGAGAGTCTGAGGAAGGAGACATCCCCTCTTTCTGAAGCTTCTTACAGCCATGTACTATAAAAGTTATTTAGAATCTTTAGTTAATACCAACCACACATGTATGCAACACATGTATGGAAGGGGAAGTGAAGGAACTGAACATCCAAGCAAACTGGCCTGGGCTTTAGATGAAGGTAGGATTGTTAGGTGTTAAAGAGGGTACAGATTTGGACCATTTGATTTTTAATAGGATCACAGAAGTGTAGAGTTGATGTAATTGTCCTTTAAACTCAAAAATTAATGGATAATGGTGAAATTTTCAGATAAATTTTAAGCATCATTGACTTCAGCACTTACGCAAATTAAGCTCTATTTCTCTACAAAAAAAAATTCAGGTACAAAAGAAACAAGAGGTACTTAAAAAGTACATGCACATGACTTGCTCTGAAATTTCAGGATTTGGAGAACCTGGGAGCAAAGCCCCTACCCTGCTAGCAGAGCCTTTTCTTCTTTTCTTCTTTTTAACCCTCCAAGGGAAAAGGCTCTGCTGACATCCTGTTGTTGCTTTGAAATGCTGAAAGCCCAAAACTCCGGGCTAGTCAAGCGGTTTTGCCTCCAGTCAAACCAGTTTTGGTACACATGCTTTTGTTTTTCATGTACACAGATGACCAAATCTGTGCCCACAATTGTTCAAGGGGGCCTGGAAAAGGATCAGTTTCTAGGCAACCGCCCCGCATGTTCAAACGAGCAACAACAGGATGTCGGCAGAGCCTTTTTCCCTTTTAGATTTGAGGATGGATTAAGAAAAGGCTCTGCTCGCAGGGTACAAAGCCCCATCAAGAGTTCAAGTGAGTTTCTACTCAAGATCACCTACCCCTCTCATCTCTCCCTGCCCCCCCCCTAACACTTACATGTTGGGGGGGGGGGGCAACCAAAGGGAGATATCTCTCTCCTGACTCTGGTTATAACTGACACTATCAGTAACAAACAGACCATTGTAAATGTTCTCAAAAACACAAACATCTGATATTGAAATATCTCTGTATGTTAAGACTTCTGTGATGCTACAAATTCTGGATAATCAATATAGCCGTCTTTGTTAAGGTCATCCTCGTCTAAAATTTGATCTATCATGTGTCCCATTTCGTCGTCACTATACTGAGGATTCTTTCCTTCACCTTCTTCATCATGATAATGAGTCATGGCATTCATGAGTTCAATTCCGTCCAATTTGTTGTTATTATCATAGTCATGCAGTTTAAAGTAGTGGAATTGGAGATCCTCGTCAGACATCTGTTCATCCTTTAGGTCAATTTCATCCTTAAGATGTTCCTTAATATGGCTGCAATTTGGATAAAAATGTCAGTTGGAGTAAACTTAACTATTTTTGACTTAATCCTTCACTCCCAAGATCTGATTGTTAATTCCCTCCTCTGGCTGCGACACATTTCGTTGTAAATTAGCTACAAGAATTTGGTCCAAGATGAAAACATCTATCTGATAAGCTTGGGTATTCTCATTACCTGTTTGGTGGATAATGTATGGATATTATAGGGAGAAGTTACATGCTGATCACTTCTAGAAGTTGAACGGTCAATTAGAAATGCCATATTTGCAAAACAAACTTTACAGAGGATCTGATCTCCCATTGCCTTTTTAGCATGCCACATCCATCTCATTAAAAAAAAAGCGAGATTTGTGACTTGTAAGTAAGATCTCAAAGGGAAAAAATGATTCTGGATTGTTAATCTAAAAAGGACACAGAAATTTGGGAATTTTATATTACAACATTCTGACAAAATTGGCAAAAACGTAACTGCTGGCTCATACCGACCAAATGTCAGAGTCCCACTGTTTTCCGGATCATCGCTATCAATGTTATCTTAAATAACACAGTTCAGAATAGAAAAGTTGATCAGTGGACTAGGCTTCATCAACATAGAATTTTTAGTACACGTGTAATAACTTAATACGCTATAGTCAATTTGTGGTTGGCTTGTCAATAAGACGAGACAATGGGTCCATAAATTGCGTCAAAATAAGTAAAATAAAAAAAAAAAAACCTTACGTTACGGAAGACTTAAGTAATCGTACCACTGGTTTAGAAGAAATAATATTATGTCTGAAACTATCAACTACAGGATTTTTCACTTACTCTTTGTCATGTGTCAGTTTTGCATCGTGTAGAGGGTTTTGTATCCCCGCAGCCTGTGTCTCATCAGATTTTATCGAGCAAACTAGAGAGATGAACAGTAAAATCCCACAAGCACATCGATGAGTCACCATTTTCCTACAAATTTAGTTTTAAGTCGCCAAATTTTCAGTAAAATTTTCCTCACGAGACTGATTTGACAAAAGAAAGGCACGGTTACTAAGCAGGAAATGGACCCTGACTATTTCCAACCCCTTATCGGTCCACAGCGCTGTGCGGTTGTCTAATTTTTTCAGAGAGCCGTTTGATTTTGGAGAATTACGTCTAAATTATATGCCGATCACTTCCAAGCTTCGACATCCCGGACAGCAGACGGAACCTTGCCTGACTGTGGTGGGGTGGGAGATTTGAACCGGAAATGTCGAGTGTCGTGTCTTTAATTTAGGAGGTGCATGTTTCAAGGTGACTAGTTCACTTTCGCCAGGAAATGACTCGGAAGAAAAGATGTACAATGTCTAGGTTTTAAAGCTTCGTAACGGGTAGAAAGTCAAAACTTAGTCACTAGTTTTACCTTTTCCAAATAGTTGACCATCAGTCCAGCACTTGGGTGGGGTTTTCAAATTTTGACTCAAGCGGACGCTGAAAAGTTTAAATGCCAAAGGATTTTCCATGGGAGGGGTTCGGGGAGGTTCCCGGGGAAATGCTGAAGTTTCGAATTCCTCCGTTTCCATCTAACTTCGGACAGATGGCACTCATTTCGATAAAACAATATAATTTCCTTATGAATTCATTCTATGCTCAGGGAAGTGTTCGATTTAATTTGCAAAAAGTGATATATCCTATGTACATCTGTGTATGTCCCTTTACCAACAAGAGGAAACGTCTAGAGTA